ATGTTTCGAGAACATTGAAATACTCGCGTGTTTCCAGCGTTCTGAGAAATACTGTAGTGTGATGCAGATGTTGTAAAGGTGTGTTAAATCAGGAATGATGATCGGAAGCGCCTTTTTCAAGATTGGTGGACCGATTTGGTCGGGTCCCGGTGCCTTGCGACTGCGCATGCTTTGGATAGTTTGTGAGATTTCTTGGATAGTGCAGTGTGTGAGTATGGTGTGGTTGCTTTCCTTTGCATTTTCCTCGTCGTCGATTGTTTACGAGGCGTTATTTGTGAACATTTCTTCGAGCATATCTGCGAAGAATTCCGCTTTAGCTTGGTCGGAAAAAAGGTATGTTGGATTTCCTTCCGCGTTGTCAGGTCCGCGAATGGCTGTGTTTGTATTTGGTAAGGACCTCAGAGACTTTTGAAGTTTGAAGTTGGCATCCGAGGCCATAGTTACATTGGCGAGGCGGGAAGTACCGTAGAGGAACGCCTCCGGGAACATATTCGTCATTATAAATAAAATAATGCGAATAAATCGGCCGTAGCCCTTCACGTATGGGAAACTTGTCACACTATTCAATTTGATGACACAGGACTCTTAGCCAGAGAAGACCGCTGGGGCACGAGGAGGGTAAAAGAGGTGGTGGAAATTATAAAACACCCTCAACCTTAATGCTGACGAAAACATACGTCTACACGATGCCTGAAAACATCTATTTTACCAGGACGTCCAATCTCGTCCGGACGTGGTCCTAGCTGCTCCGCAACGGACGGAGCGCTTTCTCTCACCCCGCGGGGAGCCCGCCCCTGATTGGCCGGTGCACTCTCCGCACTGGCCGACCAGCCGGCCAGCCGGCACATGGACGCGGCGTCACCCGGACAACGAATTATATTAAGATTTCTTGTGTTCTCTGCTTCGAAAATACTGCGAGATGAAGTCCGGGACATCAGGAAAGCTTTGTTGAGTCTGAAACGTCCCATTACTGCATGGGACGACTTGTTCAATTTCATGATCATTGATACTTCTGATGTTGATGTTATTACTACATCTGAATGCTACGTGGAACCACAGACATGCTATCTTTTGAGCAATTGTCCGAGTTTATAAACACTTGTATTATAATTTTAGATTACTTAATAGGCCAGTCCAAGAAAAATCTTACAGGTCTGAGTGGATCTATTGGAGTGTTTCAAGTTTCCTTGCTAGTAAAAATTTGTGCACGTTGTGGTGGATGGCGCCCTTTCTATGTGCTTTCAATTTAAGAAAGATTCACTTGTAGCAAGTAGAGATCTGATAATTGAAGATAAACTTTGCTCTAATTGTTTAAGAGTAGGACATTTGTCAGCACAATGCAACGGTAAGAGACTTACTTGTAAAAATAAGCACCAGCACCACACATACATTGTCTCGAGGTATCAATTAATCATTACTTTTCGGGTATACATTTAACTGGCAGCGTGTTTGCCTACTTCGTGGCTTAATGTCGTGAATAGTAGATCAGTGGAGCTTTACTGGACAAGGAATCACGAGTGTCATACGTATCGAGACGCCAGATTTTGTTATTGAGACTTAAACCTTGTAGTGTCCTGATATTGTTGAAGGGCAGAGGAAGTAGCTCGAGTGTGGAGCAGAGGAGAGTGTACGGTTACACTTACGCCGCGAAGTCAAAGCGAGTTGTTTTTACTCCTTGCTTCCTACACAAGTTACATTCTTCCCCCATATTGTTTTCTCTGCTAGTACGACGTACTTCAAAGATTTAGAAGTTGCTGATCCTAATCAATAGAGTAATGAAAAAATGATCTTTAAATGGGTCAAATGAATCAGATTATTCTTGAGGGATTAAGGAAAGACCTTATACAAGCCTCTATTGCTCAAAGGCGGTATTCCGTTGCATAATTTTCGATGGAGCACAACAACCTTCATAGTTACGATTTGGTACCCAACCATGTCACCATTTGACCTTCCCTAGAGGAAAATTTGCAGAAGTGGTGGATAATTGAGGACGTCCTTAAAGTGTCTTTTTGTTCCAAAGCTGATCGTGTATGTTAATTTCACTTCTATTTCACACGTAGACGCCTTAGCGATGGTCGTTAATGGTATCTCTCCATTTCAAGTCTTTTCCTATTCTTATTGGAGACACCTACCGGGTTTTTAAAAACGTATTTCTACGAAAACGGAACAAAGGCTCAAGACGCCCAAATTATACGATAAATATCGTAAATTTATCAGGGAGTTCTTGAGACTAGGTCATATGGCGATTGAATTTGAGTTGATGAGTGCTCCCCAAATGTATTTATCCCTCATGTACATGTTAGAGACTAGAACGTTCAGGGTTGTATTTAATGCCTCTTCAAAATTATCAACTGGATCGAGCTTTAACGATTTCCTGCACTCAGGGACCGAGGTTAAAAATGGCCTCTTTACTCTAGTTCTTTACTGAAGGTAGCATTCATTTGTATATACGGCTGATATGCCGAAGATGTTCCGGCAGATCACAAAGAGACCTGAAGACACGAAGTTGCAAAGTTTGTGGCGAGCCCACCCGGATCAGTAGTTAGTGGCCTAAAGGATTCTGACTATAGGTCGTCACGTGTGCTCCTTATAAGGAATCATAAGTGAGGAAGGCAATTTTCCCTCTGCAGCATCTTTTTTTTTCACTTGGTTCTATATAGATGATGTTCTCTTGGGCGACGATGATGTCGAAAATTTGAGGCATTCGGGACCAATTGCAGAGATTACTCTCGACGATTGGATTCACACTTCGCAAGTGAGCCAGTAACTGCCCTCCGTACTGGTCGACATTGCTGCTGAAGACAACGGCTTGGCAGTAGAAAGCAGCAATCTCTCGAGCGGCAAAAGGTTGAAAGTTTTAGGTGTATCCTAGCTTCCTAAGGATGATATTCAGTTTCTTATGCACTCCTCCTGTTTTCAGAGTTCTGACATAGCGATAATTCTTTCAATTTCTGGCTGGAGTATTTGATTATTTAGGTTGGATGTCGCTCTGCTTTATAAACGGCAATTCGAATTATTCAGTTACTGCGGCTCCGAAAGCAGGGGGGACGAAGTTCTCTCCGTCGACATAGCCGCCAGATGTGCATACTTTATTGAAGACTTACCTTTTGTTGGTTCTTGATTGAAACGTCGCCCTTGGCTGGGAACAGACACGAATGTGTCACGCGTCAAGGTTCATGGATTTGGAGATTATTCTAATCTAGCCTATGGGGGTGTGGTTTATCTCAAGGGCAGTTTTATTCCAGTCTCACTCTTATTCTTCAAAACTACAGTAGTGCCTTTAAAGTCGCAGAGTATTCCAATGCTAGAGTTATGCGCAACAGTGCTGCTTTGCAACTTAATTAAGTTTGTTATGGAAACCCTTGATTTAGGAACGGCAGCGATCTTTTGTTCGTCTCATACACATGGTTATTTGAAATATTTTGTCGCTAATCGCGTATCTCTTGCTCTGACCTCTCTTACGCACGTTTGTTGGCCGTATGTTCCAGGAGTCAGCAATCCTACGGACCGTGCCTCGCATGGTACTTCCCTCGCTTCGTTGAAGGACTGTGATATGTGTTAGAATGGACCGGATTGGCTTTTGCTTTCTGGAGAGCACTGGCCGCGCCCCTGGTGAGTCGATCTTCCTCAGTAGATCTTGAGCTACGAAACCCATGCATCTTCGTAGGCAACATGAAGTCTTCCAAGGGGGATGCCAAGGAGGAGGTCACTGCGTGCATTTGACGGTTTATGGAATGTGCGAACCTCGTCGTTTCACTTGAACACGTGAAGTATTTCACCGTTTGGAGCACGTGAAGTAGTTTTTACTTACATATGTTGGAAGACCACACTTTCGTCAAAATATTGCATCTAAGAGTTAAAACAAAAAGTCCACTCCTCTTATTTATCCGTTCGGTGATGGTATCCTTCGAGTTGGGGGTACGTTAGATTACTCTCTTATCTGAAGCACATTAACTTCGTGTTATCATGCCTCGAGAGCATTTAGCGACGTTGCTGCTTCATTATAACTTGGAAACGAAGCAAGGGGGAAGATAAGTTAGCCTCCACACACTCCGGATTGATGTTGGGCCGTTGCAGCGCCCTCGATGGTAAGAAATGTTGTTCGTCAATGTGTTTCCTGTGACAGATATCGCGCGACCTTGAATGAGCAAATAATATGCCAATTGCCTTAAGTACGACTCCAGCTATCTCGCCTTTTCGCATTTGTTGGAATCATATATGCTGCTGTGGGTGCGCATTGGCTCCGGCAGGGGACTACCTGCTGAAAAATGTAATGTTGCTTAATGCTTAAAAATGAGAGGTACATATTGAGCTTGTGTCGAATTGAACTACGGCGGCGTCGCTGTCTTCCGCAAAAGGTCATGTCTGATAATGGGGACATCTTCCTGGCTGCCGACAGAGAGCTTACCCAGAACTTCTGAAAGGTAATGACCGATAAGATCTTATTCCAGCGCTTTGTAAATGACAGGATTGTGTGAGAATTGATTCCCAACAACGCCCCGCATCACAAGGACCTTTGGAAGGTAAAGGAGAAATCTATTAAATACCACGCCGAGTGTTGAGGTTTTATACATCAATTTGTGACTTTATACATCTAGTTCTGACACCAGGATATTTTCTTGTCGGTTCCTTGTTAACTGTACCAAATGTGCCATCTTTGGTGGATTGTAATATTAATTACCTTGTTCCATGGTAAGCAATGAAAGCTATGTTAAAGAGATTTTGGCACTTATGGCTTTAAAACTATTTAAATTACATCTGCTCGTGAAGGTGAATCGGTTCACGTCCTGACCGGAGGATGCAGAGAACACTCTCATGTGTACCTTTCTCCATCTAATTCCTCTTTCTTGTCATTTCTCGTATCTCCTACATTCTTTCATCCCCTCCTTTCTCTTCCTCACTAGCCTCTGTATGCTGAATGCCCACCCTGCATCGAAGGAAATGGGTTACCTGGGGGTTGAGGGTCTGCGTTCCCGACTGTCACCTTGACGCTGTTTTTTATGAAGATAGATCCTAGCCACGATCGCTCTCCAAAACCCGGTGAGCCCTGGTCTATACACATTGTGGGTCGGCCTTTTTGTGGTCTCGGCCTCTTCTAGTTGGGCATGCGGGAGATAACCCACTCCCGATCAATCGGGACGGACTAGGTATTTGACTGAACTTCAGGGTGACCGGGGGGGACATGATGGGGCAGCTCTGTGTCATACCCCCTCCCATATATCCGTGTCAACCCCAGCAGTGTAAAGTTTATGTACAACTTATATTAAATATATACTGATGTGTGAAAAGGCACAAAACAGGACCTGGACGTTGTTAACTCATACTCATATAGCTAAGGTACTGCGTGCTTCTTCATGCCAGGAATAAATAATAAAATATCTATACCAATCCCATTAAAAGTTAAACAACCCGCTCATCCTATTAATTTCATTGAATGAAAGGTTATATAAATTAATGTGATAACGTAGGTAATGTCAACGGCAAATATTTCCATGCGTAAATGTTATAACAAAAACATATTTCACTACACATGTGAAATAATTTCTGAGCAATTTGACATTGAAAAATATTTATAAATATTAAATTTTTAAATTAAAATTATACAAACCGATAAAAGCTACGTAATTTGTTTTCAGGTTCGGAGGGAAGAGAAAAAGAGACGCAGAATGTAGGTAAGTATACTTGACAATAAAATTCATTGATAAGTTTGCAGAGGTCAGATTTACGTTAGGAAGGCCGTGAGCCAGAGCTTCGCATTGATTTGAAACTGTTTTTCTATTGGAATTGTTAGGGTATAAATGCATTGAAAGTTTTCAATTACTAGAATAAAGGTTGTAAGGTATAGTTTACATTCATATATGTTATTAAAACTTACTGTCTAAACAATCTATGTATTTAACCAAAAATGACGTTAAGTCTATTTTAAATGTATGTGATGTTGGTAAGTAATGTCCCCTATTAGCGTCATGGTTGAATCTAGTAATACTTTGCTCCTCTCAGAGAACTCATCTTTTTAAGTTGTGTACAACGAATCTGTTCATCAATCACATCAGCACATCAATAAAATTCCAAACCTTAACTCTGGGAACAATTACTGCATATACTTGTAAATAATGTAACAAAAACAAGACTTTGCAAAACATTCTGCGATTACGGTCTGTATAGTAACATACTTGAATGAATACTTAAAAGTTCTTTAAACACCAGTACAAAAAATCTGGCATATTCTGAAACGCTGCACATTAATATTGAACAGCAGATAGTGTGTTTAATTCTTTCTTGCAAATACATGACGAAAGCTGCATGTGAGAAATGTATTAAATGTATAGAACATAATAGTGTGACGTCATGGATACAGCGACCACAGACACAGAGCTTTCGTATA